TGAATCGGTACTGAGACTCGGTGAGGGTCGGTGGGGTTGGGCGAGCAGGCAGTCTCGTCAGTAGTTGGCACGATTCCTACTGACTGCTAGCGTTTCCCTACCTTGGAGACTCCCTCCCCTGCTCTGCTCCGCGGCGCCTCAGCTCCTCTGGGCATTCACTCTTGCGATAGCCCGGCCTATTGCAAGCAAAGCACTGCCCCTTAAACGGCGCGACAGCTGTATTCGTCGCAACGACATATACGGTGGTGTGCTCGATCGGTCCCCGAGGGCGATATCCATAGTAGGACCCCAGTCTCGGACGGCGCAAAATGTCGATTTTCTCGGCGAGCGCGAGAATCTCGTTGAAGTTCGAGAGCCCGCGTAGCATGATCTCGTGCGAGATGTCTGTCTTCAGTCCTCCGACGTAACGGTCCATCCGCTCCGCTTCGTGCATGTAGCCAACTTGCTCGCATAATGCGAGAAAACCGCTCGTGTAGTCTTGAACCGACCCGAGCTGCCGCCAAGTACGCAGTCTCTGACGCGCCGAAATAGAAGCCGCGATTGGCTCGAAGCGCGCCCAAAGCCCTGCGCACCACACATCCCATGTGCTGTACTGGGCGGTTTCGCAGAATGAACTCCAGGTGACAGCTGGACCCGTGGGCCCTTCCTCTTGCGACGGTGGCTCGTAGGCGCGTGGCGACGTCACGATGACTCGCCACCAGTCCATGGCGGGGCCAGGGCTCTCGTTATCAGACCATTTTGGTCTGATGGTCTGATTTTCAGACTCATTTTTTTATATCCATCTGATTTTCCAATCTAGATCAGACAAAACAATTGTTTTGCCTGGCGGACGCGTCTGACAGAATCAGACGCCCTCAGATCCTAGCAAAAGCTCTGGGCGGGGCCCCTCAGCAGAGAGACGGCATATCGGATCTTCGCTGCATCTGACTCGACGTAGTTTGCGTCGAAAAATACGTTCATCGTGAATGTTGATAAACTAGCGAGAATTTGGCTTAGGAGCCATAGTAGCTTAGGAGTGAGTTCGAGTTTTAGGGTGTAAGTGAAATGTGGAGAGCATTGTGGAAGGAGAATGTTGAAACTAGAAAGGAGGGGGATACAAGTAGTAAGCCCTAAAAGGGTTATACTCACTTTTGAGTACCCCACTACAGACTAGACATGCATTATAATCTGACACACCCCCATAGTCAAAGTGGGGTATAATCAGTACAGCATGCAGGCATAGAGCTATAGTTCACAATAGGTAAGTAAGGCTAGAGCTAATCACAGTGGGCAAGTGAGGAGGAGGAGAGACTGTGGGGAAGAGAAGATGGGAGGCGACTGCTGACGCTGCAGACACACGGACGAGCTGCTGGCTCAGTGGCTACCGAAGCAAAGGCCCGGACTACAGGAGTAAGTGGCTCCGCGGCTAAAAGTAGCGGCAGACGAGCAACTGACCCACAGGCGACTGGCGACTACCGGAGATTGTAGCCTCCGGACTGCTGGTGCTGCTGACGACAAGACTGCTGCCTCCACTCAACCTCCCCCAGCTGCCCAACGCCCCTCTCACACACCCTCTGATCAAACCCTAGCCATACACCCACATCACCCTCTTAAACCCTAAACCCCAGACTCCCACACATCCACCCCCCTCAGCGATAGCTGTAGCAGTGGGAGACGAAGGAGGAGGAGGAGGAGGGGACGGCACGCACAACCGACACCCCCACAACCATCACCCCCACACCCACCCCCCCACGGCTGCACCGGGTCCAGGAGCGGCTGTTGCAGGGGCCAGGGGTGGCTGCTGCTGGGGCGGCTGCTCCAGGGGCTGCAGCTGCTGGGGCGGCTGCTCCAGGGGCTGCTGCTGCTGCTGGGGCAGCTGCTCCAGGGGCTGCTGCTGCTGGGGCGGCTGCTCCAGAGGCTGCTGCTGCTGCTGGGGCGGCTGCTACAGGGGCTGCTGCTACTGGGGCGGCTGCTCCAGGGGCTGCTGCTGCTGGAGCGGCTGCTCCAGGGGGGTGCTGCTGCTGGGGCGGCTGCTCCAGGTGCTGCTGCTGCTGGGGCGGCTGCTCCAGGGGCTGCTGCTGCAGTGGAAATTAGGAGGGAGGGGAGGGGAAGGGCGCGGCCCCCAGGGTGCCCTGACGGGCGACGTGCTAGGGAGCCGCGCAGGCCCCCAAAAGTGCCTCGACGGGCGAGCAAAGGGGACCGCGCGCAGGCCCCTAAGGCGCCGTGACGAGGCAACGGGAGGGGCCGGCTCGCGGGCCCCGAAAGTGCCGCGACGAGGCGACGGGAGGGGCCTGCGTGCGGGCCCCCAAAACGCCACGACGAGGCGACGGTCGGGGCCAGTGCGCGGGCCCCCAAGACGCCGCGACGAGGTAGGAACCCGCCGCGCGCCTCGGGGCGCACGGCGGGCAGAAAACCGCCACGCGTTCCGAGCGCGTGGCGGGAAGAAAAATAGAATGTCGCGCGCCACGGGGCGCGCGACACACAGTAGGGCAGCGGAAGCAAGTGGGCCCACAGGCCAAGAGCTTTAAGCTCTGATAGCATGTTGATAAACTAGCGAGAATTTGGCTTAGGAGCCATAGTAGCTTAGGAGTGAGTTCGAGTTTTAGGGTGTAAGTGAAATGTCGAGAGAATTGTGGAAGGAGAATGTTGAAACTAGAAAGGAGGGGGATACAAGTAGTAAGCCATAAAAGGGTTATACTCACTTTTGAGTACCCCACTACAAACTAGACATGCATTATAATCTGACAGTGAAGACCCACGATTGAACCGTCGGACCTCCACGTTGGCTTGGGTCGAAACAGGGCGGGCGCTGCGGCTTGAGTGGCATTGGTGCCATGATGGCCTGGTCGCCAATTGTCGCCGCGAACTCCACGTGCCGACAGGCTTCACGAGGCTCCCGTGGGCTTGGCGCGACCCTGTTTCTCCCCATGCCCGGCATCTGTTGGGCGGCGCCATCACTGGCTGCGCCTGAGCGCTGTCCCACGCTGTCGTTCTGTGTAGGTGTGTCTGATGAAATTATGATCGGCTCCTCCGATTGTGCAGGTGCATTTGCAGGTGTATTCACCGTGGATTGCTGACAGGCGGAGTCACGTTCCGCCGTGAGCGTCGCAATTTCGAGCGCCGATTCTTCAACTTGGCGCACGAGACGGTCGAGTTGCTCCTGCGTCAGTGTCGCGAGAGTAAATTCGGCCATGGCGGGGGTGTCGGGCAAGCTCAGCGAGAGCCTCTGTCGTGGCCGTGCGTGCTTACGAGAGAGCACTACGAGCGGCGGTGCTGTGTCGCTGAGAGACGTCTACCCCCCCCCCAAAAATTGAGATAGTGGGGAAGCGAAGGTGTGGGTGCGGTCCGAGAAGAGATCGTAGGCTCTGAATACGAAGTGTTACGAGTACAATTGAGTGATCGAGCGAGAATTGCACTATCGAAGCAAGAGTACAATGAGCGAAGGCATGAGCGAAGAATATATAGCGAAACTACAGTGGTAACGGTAATGGACTGTGGTTGTCGCGCGATGGCCTGGGACTGAGGCTTGGGGAAATGTCGAAGCGGAGGCCCAGAGGGCGGGTTACCCGCCGAGCTGTGAGGTTGGGGTGTGAGGTGTGAAGGGTGGCGGAAGGATTGTCGATGCGAGGGTTGCGAGTGGTAACGGTGCTGACTGTGGTGCTACAGTGGTGTACAGGCTGAGCGGGGACGCGAAGTAAGGAAAAGGAATTTTCCTTACATCACTCAACAAGGTCAGCGAAAATACTAATGGTCATAAAATTATCTCATGACGTTGTTTCCACACGCAATCACATTTACCATACAGTCCCACCCAGTACAGCAAATTAGACTGAAAAGCATAGCACATCATGCATACCGTAAGCCCCCGGATAGAAGCGCAGGCCTCGGATAAGCGCCGGCGCTTATAAAAGGATGAGGGCGCTTATATCCGGTCCTCGATTATAAGCGCACCCCCTAAAGGCTTACGGATTATAAGCGCCACCCTCTGAATTATTTTTTTATATTTTACTGGAAACGCTGTAACGAAACACAATTTTTGCATCCCAACATTCAGAAATTCGAATCCCTTCACCATCGCGCGACTCAATGCCAATTTACGCGAGATTCACATTCCAGCCCCCTAGAATATCGATTCGATTCAAATCGCAAGGACGAGATGAACACTTTGGTGTAAAAAAACTAGATTTCATATATGTCATTTTATAAGCCCCGGCGCTTATAAAAATCCTCAATTATAAGCCCACCCCCTAAAAAACAGTGTTTTTTTATAACCCCAGGGGCGCTTCTATCCGGGGGCTGACGGTATGAGAAAAGGGAACAAGTTGCTTCCCTTAAATAATGACTGGAAAAGAGCCTGATAGAGCATGTGCTCATGGGTTAATTAACGAAGTTACAATTGTTTTACTCCAGTTGGCTGCATCATGCTGCAATGCCAGTCCATGTTGCAATCATTGCACTGTCCATGATCTCTTGAGCCTCTTCGTCAGTCTGCCATGCCAACCAAGTGATTCACAAGACACACCACAAGGAGCACATGGTTTAACAATAACACGATTGCACGGTATATACATCTTTACACACACATTAAATGCACACATTGTACGGTATACACATCTTTATATGTACATGCACACATACCGGTACGCATGCACCCAGACACGCTCTCACTCCGACTGACTCACAACAAAGCAGATAAAACCCCAAATCGTCACACCCCTTCTCCTTCCACCCATACCCCTCATCCCACCACCCTCACCTCGCACTGTTCTCGGACAGAAGCAGCATCAGGAAGGCTCCACCCCCACAGCCGCTCACTCACCCTCACCGCACGCATTCTCAGCTGCCCCTGCTGTCCCCCCCACTGCCCCCACTGCGCCTGCGGCCCCCCCTGCTGCCAGCCAAAGCGCTTGTGAGCATAGAGCAGGAGGCGGGCTATGTATCGAGCATTGTCCCTCCGCCTGGGCCACCGCCAATAGATGTGCGCCGCCATGCGCGCTGCAACGGCCAGGATTAGATCCCCGATGTCCTTCTCGCGCGGATCGACGGTGGAGATCAGGCGCTCGATCCAGGCCCAGGCGGAGGCGAGGGAGGAGGGAGAGCGGTGGAGGGAGGGGCTGAGGGGGGAAGGGGAGGAGGAGGAGGAGGAGGAGGAGGAGGAGGAGGAGGAAGGAGGAGGAGGAGGAGGAGGAGGAGGAGGAGGAGGAGGAGGAGGAGGAGGAGGAGGAGGAGAGGAGGAGGAGGAGGAGGAGGAGGAGGAGGAGGAGGAGGAGGAGGAGGTAGTGGTGGTACTGATGGGTGCAGAGGGGTTGGGTGCAGAGGGGGCTGCATGCGGTTGCTTGTTGGAGGAGGAACGGGAGAAGGATGCTGAGGAGGTGGAGGAGGAGGAGGTGGAGGAGGAGGAGGTGGAAGCCGAGGTGGGGAAAAGCGAGTGGGAGACGGAGCAAGGCGAGACGGCTCTAGGGGTGGACTCGAGGTAAATGGGGCCGGGCGAGGTGAGGTGTGATGAGCAGGCCCTTCTAGGCCCCAGTCGAACACCTCCAGCATCTGCTGCTCCGGGATAGCTCCATCCGGCGTCACTGCCTGTAAGAGGAGAGAGAGGGGTGGAGGAAGGGAGACAGGAATGATGTGAGGGTGGTGAGCGTGATGAGCAGCCCTTCCAGCCCCAGTCGAACACCTCTAACACCTGCTGCTCTGGGATGGCCCCATCTGGTGTCACTGCCTGTGGGGGTGGGAGGGAAAATGACGGAGAGGGAGAAGACGGATTGTGGGGGGGATGGGGCTAGCATCTGCTGCTCTGGTATGGCCCCGTCTGGCGTCACTGCCTGCAGAGGTGACAAGGAGAGAAGGGCGGGGGAGAAAGCGGAGAGGGAGAGAAGGGAAAGAGAGGATAAGGATTGTGAGGGGAGGTCAGCGAGAGGTGAGTATGAAAAATGGTGTCACTGTGGGAAGTTGGTTTCTGAGAATTCTCAAGAGCCAGCGAGTTCTCAAGAGCCAGCGAGTTCTCAAGAGCCAGCGAGTTCTCAAGAGCCAGCGAGTTCTCAAGAGCCAGTGAGTTTCTCAAGAGCCAGCGAGTTCTCAAGAGCCAGCGAGTTCTCAAGAGCCAGCGAGTTCTCAAGAGCCAGCGAGTTCTCAAGAGCCAGCGAGTTCTCAAGAGCCAGCGAGTTCTCAAGAGCCAGCGAGTTCTCAAGAGCCAGCGAGTTCTCAAGAGCCAGCGAGTTCTCAAGAGCCAGCGAGTTCTCAAGAGCCAGCGTGTCTCCAGCCCCCAGTCGAGCACCTCTAGCACCTGCTGCTCTGGAATGGTTCCCTGTCAATGCCTGGAGGGTGGGAGGAGGGAGGGAACACAGAGGGAGACACGGGATTGCGAGGGGTCCTGGGAAAGGTGAGCATTACAAATGTGGTGCCCCCAGAGAGCACCACAGAGAGCACCACAGAGAGCACCACAGAGCACCACAGAGAGCACCACAGAGAGCACCACAGAGAGCACCACAGAGAGCACCACAGAGAGCACCACAGAGAGCACCACAGAGAGACACCACAGAGAGCACCACAGAGAGCACCACAGAGAGCACCACAGAGAGCACTTCACAAATCTGCTGCTCTGGATGGGTCCCCCGTCCTGGGGTCACAAGCCTGCAGGGTGGGAGGGAAGGAGTCGGACAAGGAGGGGGCTGGGCGCGGTGGGAGTTTCGTGGTGTGAGTGTGAGCCACCCACTTCCCAGTAGGCCCAATCCACCCAATTCCCATAGGCCAATCCACCCACTTCCCATAGGCCAATCCACCCACTTCCCATAGGCCAATCCACCCACTTCCCATAGGCCAAATCCACGCCACTTCCCATAGGCCAATCCACCCACTTCCCATAGGCCAATCCACAGCCACTTCCATAGGCCAATCCACCCCACTTCCCATAGGCCAATCCACCCACTTCCCATAGGCCAATCCACCCACTTCCCATAGGCCAATCCACCCACTTCCCATAGGCCAATCCACCCACTTCCCATAGGCCAATCCACCCACTTCCCATAGGCCAATCCACCCACTTCCCATAGGCCAATCCACCCACTTCCCATAGGCCAATCCACCCACTTCCCATAGGCCAATCCACCCACTTCCCATAGGCCAATCCACCCACTTCCCATAGGCCAATCCACCCACTTCCCATAGGCCAATCCACCCACTTCCCATAGGCCAATCCACCCACTTCCCATAGGCCAATCCACCCACTTCCCATAGGCCAATCCACCCACCTCCCATAGGCCAATCCACCCACTTCCCATAGGCCAATCCACCCACTTCCCATAGGCCAATCCACCCACTTCCCATAGGCCAATCCACCCACTTCCCATAGGCCAATCCACCCACTTCCCATAGGCCAATCCACCCACTTCCCATAGGCCAATCCACCCACTTCCCATAGGCCAATCCACCCACTTCCCATAGGCCAATCCACCCACTTCCCATAGGCCAATCCACCCACTTCCCATAGGCCAATCCACCCACTTCCCATAGGCCAATCACCCACTTCCCATAGGCCAATCCACCCCTTCCCATAGGCCAATCCACCCACTTCCCATAGGCAATCCACCCACTTCCATAGGCCAATCCACCCACTTCCATAGGCCAATCCACCCACTTCCCATAGGCCAATCCACCCACTTCCCATAGGCCAATCCACCCACTTCCCATAGGCCAATCCACCCACTTCCCATAGGCCAATCCACCTCTCCCATAGGCCAATCCACCCACTCCCATAGGCAATCCACCCACTTCCCATAGGCCAATCCACCCACTTCCCATAGGCCAATCCACCCACTTCCCATAGGCCAATCCACCACTTCCCATAGGCCAATCCCCCACTTCCCATAGGCCAATCCACCCTTCCCATAGGCCAATCCACCCACTTCCCATAGGCCAATCCACCCACTTCCCATAGGCCAATCCACCCACTTCCCATAGGCCAATCCACCCACTTCCCATAGCCAATCCACCCACTTCCATAGGCCAATCCACCCACTTCCCATAGGCCAATCCACCCACTTCCCATAGGCCAATCCACCCACTTCCCATAGGCCAATCCACCCACTTCCCATAGGCCAATCCACCCTTCCCATAGGCCAATCCACCCACTTCCCATAGGCCAATCCACCCACTTCCCATAGGCCAATCCACCCACTTCCCATAGGCAATCCACCACTTCCCATAGGCCAATCCACCCACTTCCCATAGGCCAATCCTCTTTAAAAAGGAAAGTCTCACCTTGAACGTCCCTTTGACCGCTTCCCCCACATGACAGGCAGAGCCTTGTGAGCCAACGCGCTCTGCTTCTCCAGAAGCCAAGCACAACCACTCACACAGCCAGTCGTGTCTCAAAACAGATCTCACCTTGAAGATTCCAAGTTGTTTCAGAACAAGCCTTACCTTGAACGTCCCTTTGACTGCCTTCCCCCACATGACAGGCAGAGCCTTATGTGCCAGTGCGCTTTCCCTCTCCAGCAGCCCTCCCACCGCCTTCCACTGCGCCCACCCCACCTCCACGCCTGGGAAGCTCACTTCCGCCGCCCACCGAACCAGCGCCGCCTCCCGAACCTGCCGCTGCCGAGCCTCCTGATCAGCCTCGGCCGGTTTGCCGTCCGGGCCTTCTGCCACTGCCGAGCCTAGCGGGGAGGGTCGGGGAGTGATGCGGCCGTTTTGGGTGTGCAGGGAAAAGGTGGAGGGCGGGATGAGGTGGACGTGGTGGCAGTAGCGGTGGAAGAGGCGAGAGAGGTGGAGGTGCGAGTGGTAGAGGCTGAAGAGGAGGACGAGGAGGATTTTGGGAAAATGGTGAAGGGCGGGAGGGACGGCAGTAGTTGTTGGGGAGAGGAGGATTCGCGTGAATGTATGGTGGAGGTTTTAGCGAATGAGAAGCTCGCCTCGCCTTGCTCCTCCTCCTCCTCTTCCTCCTCCTCATCTTGCTTTTTCCTCCCCTCCTCCTCACTCCCCTCCTCGCACACCTCTCCATAAATCCTCTCCCCCTCACTCCCCTCCTCACTCTTCTTGTCAACCCTACTGCCCGCCTCCTCTCCTTCCAAAACCACATGCAGAGCCCCCGGCGCACTCACCGCATTCAGAGCCCCGCGGCGCACTCACCGCTCGCTGCCCATGCAAAGCCACATCTGCACCTCCTTCCTTCACCCCCTCTTCACATCCCCCTCTTCCTTCAGCCCCTGCACCCACAGCCCCTGCACCCACAGCCCCTGCACCCACAGCCCCTGCACCCACAGCCCCTGCACCCACAGCCCCTGCACCCACAGCCCCTGCACCCACAGCCCCTGCACCCACAGCCCTTGCATCCACAGCCCCTGCACCCACAGCCCTTGCATCCACAGCCCCCTGTCCTTCCCGAACCTCCTTCACACCCTCCTCCTCCACACCGCCTTCATCCTCACCCCCTCGCTCCAGCACCGCCTTGAGAGCGCTTTCCTTAGTTGTGAAGAAGCTCGCAATCGCCCGCCCCTCGCCCGTCTCTTCTGCCCTGCTGCCCCCATCGCCCAATCTCATACTCTTGCTGCGGAACGACCTATGAGTCGGCTCAAGCTCAAACGTCTCCCCTGTCTCTCCTGCCCGGCTGCCATCGCACTGCCGCACACTCTTGTTGCCATCACCCGATTGCACACTCTTGCTGCGGAACGGCCGCACGCTCTTCCCATCGCGCTGCACTGCACTGCTCCCATAGTACTGCCCGGCATAGATGATCACGTTCTCGCCGTCACCGTCGCTTTCATTCCCTCTTCCTCTCTACTACCTGTCGCCCTCTCGCTGTCCCGCTCAACCTCCCCCTTCCTCCCCTCCTCCCCTTTCTCTTCGTCCCCCTTCCCTTCTGTTCCGTTCGCTTTCCCCTCCTCCCCTTTCCCCTCCGCCCCTTTCCCCCTGCCCATTCCCCTCCGCCCCCTTCCCTTCCACACCGTCCGCCCCTTTCTCCTCCTTCCCCTCCCCATCCCCGTCCCTTTCCCCTTCCCCATCCCCCTCCCCCTCCCCCTCCCCCCCCCCTTCCCCTTCCACCTCCATTCGTTCCCCCTCGGCCCCTTTCCCCTCTCCCCCTTCCCCCTCGGTCCCTCCCCTCTCCACCCCCTCCTCCCCTTTCTCCTCCTTTTTCTCCTCCCCATCCCCCTCCTCCTCCCCCTCTTCTTCCACCACCAGCAGCGGCTCAATGGCCAGTCTGAGCACGAACCGCGCGCATAGGGCGCTCATCTCGCCCGCGCGCTCCTGCTCCTCGCGAGACGGTGGTGCCCCAACACGCGACTCAGCTGCAGAAACCCGTTGGCCAGCTCGTATGCCCACGGGTAGCTCACTCCCCTCCTCGCTGCTCCCCTCGCTCCTACGCTGCTGCCCTGCTGCTACCTCCTCCTGCTGTACCTCCGCTGCTCCCCCTCGCTCTCCTGCCTCTCCTCCTGCTGCTCTCCTCCTCCTGCTCCTCGCTCCTCCTCCGCTGCTCCTCCTCCTCCCTGCTGCTCTCCTCCTCCTGCCTGCCTGCCTCTCTCCTCCAGACCCTCCAAGCCCCAAGCCCCCTCCCACTCCCCCCTCCTCCTCCTCCTCTCCTCGCCTATGCCACCCCACTCCCTGCCACACCCCAGCGCTCTGCTCCTCGCCTCAGCAGCAGCACTGGCAGCAGCAGCCGCCCGCAGAGGCTCCAAAACGCCGCCCGAACGCCATCGCATACTGCCACCGCACGCCGCCCGACGGCGCGTGCGTCAGTCCGAAATGCGCCGCCCCGAGCAGCCGGTGGATCCGCTGCGGCACGGGCTCCGTCCCATTAGGCACCATCGCCGCCCGGACCGTATCCGCTACAGTATCCAAATCATCATAAGCGACAGCGGCGGCCCTAAGAGAGATTCTTATAGCCGCCTCCATACACCCCATCTCGTCTGCTCTATCGGCTAAAGCCACAGGTCCTCCTGGGTCAAATGGGGTAGTTCCGCAACTTCCCCGGCCAAAACGAGGGCGAGAATCCCGGGGCCGAGCGCGTGCGTGGTGAGAAGCGAGTCCAGCTGGCGAAGACGGTGCGAGTAGGAAGTGGACTGGTTGGTGGTGGGGGCGTTGGTAGGGGCGTTGGAAGGACCATGGGGAGAGGTGTTGGGAGGGGTGGGAGCTAGGCTGGTCCTGCCAGCCGTGGTGCTGGGAGGGGCGTGGAGAATGGATCGAACGAGTGCCAGCTCTGCCAGCTCTGTGAGTCGCGTGGGACCAAAGAACCCTGCAGCAGAGACAGATGCAGAGGATGCTAACTCCCCTCCAGCACCACCAGCACCACCCACCACCACCAGCACCAGGCGGCTCCAGCAGTGGCGCGGCGCATGGGAGCAGGAGCATTAGAGATGGACATGCTTCCTGCCCGACCCACACCCGAGCCTATCGTCCCATGCCTCCTCCACAGCCTCGACAGATCCCCCATGCCGCCCTCCTCCTCCGCACCGTCCCCTCCTGCCCCCCCGCTCGTCCCCCAGGAACAAGGCACCGATCTTGTTGCGGAAGCCAATGGACGGCTGCCGCTGGAAAGGCGACGCACCCCCCTGCCACGACGGCTGGCGCTGAAAACAACGCACTGTCTCCCCCACCGCCACCCCAGGACGGCTGACGGTACAGCGAGGAACGGCCACCAGCAGCAGTGGCAGTGGCAGCAGCAGGCTTGCCGGACGCCCAGGAAGGCTGGCGCTGGAAGAGAGCCGGGTTGACTCCGTTGAGCAGTGGTGAGGTACTGCTGCTGCTGCGCGCCACCTGCTGTGCTGCTTCTCGTGCCCTTGCCACCTGACACACTCCCTGCTGCACTCTCCTCGTCTTCCCGGAACCCCTTTATCACTGTCACACTCCCTGTAGGCGTCGCCACTCCCCCATACCCCCCATCCCGTACCCTCCAGTCCATAACCTTCCATCCCAGCAACCACCCCCGTTGACCCCCCCCATTCCTTCTAGATACGCGCTGGCAGTGGGGGGTTGTAGTCTTAACCGGCATTTAAGAGCCAAGGCGTCTACTAAGTCTAGCAGGCACTGCAGCACGAACATGCGGCACTCCCGAGCCTCCATCTCTCGTTCTACAGCTTCCCGAGCCTCCGCCGCAGCTTCGGAATCCGCACCATCGTCATCATCATCAGCAACAGCATCAGCACCGTTGTCACTGATTCTCACTCCCTCTCTCCCTTCCTCTCCTCCTCCTCTTCATCCTCCTCCTCGTCCCCCAACAACCCTCCTCTCCCTCCCACACTACCCACTCCACCATCCCACCCCCCTCCTCCTCCTCTTGTCCTCCTGCTGCTGCTGCTGCCGCTGCCGCCCTCGCAGCCGCTGCCGCCGCTGCTGCTCCCCCTCCTCTCCGTCTCCCCCTCCCCCTCCCTCGTCTCACCCACTCCCCCGCCTCCCGCTCCTCCCTGCAAAGCCGATCCAACAACCTCAGCACACACACACAGCAGCACTCACAGGCAGACAATTAGACGCTGCTGCTGCCAACCCCAGCACCCGCACCACATCAGTGTGTTGCAGCGGAGGGGGCGGGGGAGGAGGGGAGGGAGTGGGGGTACCTGCAGGACTGCTGCTGGCCGAGTGGTGGGCGGAGTGAGAGGAGGAGTGAGGGAAGGAGTGAGGGTGGGAGAGGGGGTGGGAGTGGGAGTAGGAGAAGGAGCTACTTCTGAGCCGTTTCAGGATGTCAACTGAAGGGTTGTAGCTGCTACAGCCGAGCCCGCTGCCTATCCCCACCTCCCCCATGCTACTGTAGCCACCAAACCCGCTGCTGAGGCTATTCCCAAACCCAACCCCGAGGCTGTTCCCGAAGCTGTTGCCCGCGCCTCCACCGAAGCTGCTGCTCCTGCTGAAGCTCCCTCCGGTGCTGCTGCCGACGCTGCTGCTTCGGAACCCAAACGCACCCCCACCACCACTCCCCCCAACACCGCCCCTACCAGCACCACCGCCCCCAGATACACCTCCCCCCATGCGCCCTGCTTGCCGCCCAGAGCGCCCTGCCGCCCATCCAGCAGATCCGCCAAAAGCTGCTCCTGCAGTTGCCGCCCGGCCTCCGCCCGCAGGTCGCCCTCTACCTCTGCCACGTGCACGCCACACGCCCCCCCGTGGGGGGCACACGCCGAGAACGGCGTGCCGCTGCTGCCGCTCGCGCTGTAGCTGCCGCTGTACTCGTTACAAGATCCGAACACGTTAAAAGCACTGCACTCGTTATAAGCGCCGTACTCGTTGAGATTGTAGTACGTGCTTTCATCGCTCGACCCATTGCTGCCCGAGCTCCAGCTGTCCTCGTTACAGAGTGCTCTGTTAGGAAGCTTTTCAAAATCAAACCTTACAGTGTCACTAGAGAAATCCTCGTCATAGAGGGACTCATTCCAGTGGTTGGCAGTGGCAGCTACAGTGTCTAGTTCTGGGCCGGAACACTCACTAACAGACAACCGTGCATCTGAACCAACTCCCCACTCCATGTCCTGCCTTGTGTCGTCGTTTCTTCTGCCAAAGCCTCTTGTGCCGTCCCTCCCTCTTCCCTTCCCTCTCCCTCACCTCCCCATTCCTCCCCCCACCTTCCTGATAATCAGCGCCAGAACCCTCCACGAAGCTTCCAGAATCCTGCCCGTGTTCCCCCCCCTTCCTCCCCTTCCTCCCCGTCTGCCCCTTCTCCCCTCCCCTCCCCCCTCCCACTAGTCAAATCGATACTCTCCATCCCCCCCTCCGCCTCCCCTCTTCCCCTTTATCCCCCTCCTCATCCCCCAGGTCAACTGAGAAAAACGTCCCTTCTTCCAGGGTTTCTTGCAACTTAACCCATCCAACTGCACTTCCAGCACGGAATTACCCCCTAGAACCCTCTCCTTCCCCTCTTTGCCCAAAACTCCCCCATCCTTCCCGCACCTCCCCCTTTCCCCCCTTCTTTCCGCCTCATCCTCTCCCTCCGCTTCTTCAGACTCCGCAGC